CAAGTGCTCAATGCTCGCAATTGTTGGAAGCCAACACGTCTTTGGGTGAGTCAATGTATTTCATATCACAATATATCATTTATTTTTTATATGAATTTTAGGATACGTACTATACTTGCAAGTAGGAAAGTATTTACAGTTTTAAATAACTAATTGAGGTTCAATTAATGTAACACATCACGTATCCTACTCTATCTTCCTAACCATTCCTTTTATAATAGTTTGTACTCATTGTTTACACCACAGGTATGTACGTATCCAGACATTTTTATATATAAGAAGTTAAAATGATTATATGTACAATATGCACAAATTGAACATCATCATTTTGTTCAAATACTCTTTAATTAATTTCTGATTAATAATGTGTGACCAAATGGTCAAATTAAAAATTCATTTTGGTTCTTCGATCGTCATCAACTGTGAAGAGATATTTAATTTAACTGGTAATTTCGCGTCCAATATGTTATTGGGTACTCGTTACATTTTTCAATTATTTTTATGAACCACGCACACATAGAGAATGAAGTAGCATCGGGAGATGTAAACAGAAAAAAATTTTATTCGTAATGATGGCCGCCAAAAATGTTTGACCAAACTCCGCGTCGTCGTTTAGGAGATCGAATTTAAACGAATGCAAGCGAATAAATATGGATCTCGGTATTAACGCAAGCTCGATCCTCTGTGTACGCAGTTTCAGCGCTTTTAATGGATACTTCGTGATACGTGAGCCAGCGGTCCTCGTTCTTTTTTTTTATGAAAAGTACTTTCCGAGCTAGTTTTACTGGGATGGAACGAAAATTACTTTTCCTGCATTCGTTAATAATAAAATCGCGCATTTTATATTGTTCATGTTCACAAGAGGATTTTATTAAATGATTTCATCGTGAAATCAGTCTGGGTTTTAAAGTTTGAATCGAAAGACGAAACTTGTCGTTCGTTCAGATTAATTAAATGGATACATGATTGTATGGGTTAATAAATCGGATCGACCACTCGTTTCTACCAATCTTTCTACTTTCTCGAATTTCTGAAATGTATATTCACTCAGTCGATGCCTACATATTTTCACACAGCGTATATGGCCATTCGGATTTTTCTGCGTTTCAAAGGATCATTAATATGTCGTTCATTAAATAGGGATTGTGTGCTCTGTAACGATAAAAACGTTCGACTGGAGCAGAGGCATAAAATGCAGTCACGGTAGTCTTCATTCACTTTGTATAAAACGACCAATATTACGCGATAGATCGATGGATTAAATCTAGAACTGCGCCCCACCCCCGGCTTTAAAATGTCGTGTACTGTTAATCGATCCGACGGAAATTACGTGTCCGTTTTGGTACATGGTGCCATTTAAAAACTCGTGCGCTCCCAGTCTGCAAATTGAATTCCAAAGTCGTTCCGCTATATCGGTTAACTAACAGTGTCGATACTTGCGACAGGCAATACTACCGGCGACCGTTACCATGCACGAGACACTGAATATGTTTGGGGGAGAAAGAGAAACGTTTTAAGATACACCCCAATTGTCCTATCGAAATTGTATTTCCTATTCGTGAGTGCAATTCGATGCGAATTCTCAAAACGATTTTAATGTAATTAAGGATTACGTAAACAGGATGAAACTTTCTTTTCTTAATTTGATATTCTTGTCTCGTTCCATTATACATACAATAGCTGGCAGATCGATTGAACGGTGGCTGTCTGCTACGGCTAATTGTAAGTAGGTCAATGTAAACGTGGGTAACCGAAAACGAAGAACAGTACACAGCGCACTTGTTCCCTTTTCTTCCGACGAGATAAGATACTCGATGCGCGTATCGAAGTCTCCTTGAAATTCTAAGGCACCAGTTGAACAAGCCTCGGAATTGTCAAGATTCTTTCCCCAGTTTCGCTAACTATCCTCGACATCTTCAAGGAGATTATGTCGTCGAGTACGATAAAGCAGTATCGAGTATCAAGGGGCTCGATCTTCGTAACAACTCTAGATGCCCTAGCAATGTGCAACGATTTGATAAAACCAACAATTTATGATCTGGAATTTTTTTTACATTCAAAATCACTTTGGTCGATTAAATCTACAGATTTACAAACGTTTAGAATCTTTATTTTCATCCGACGTTTGCAAATATGTACTCGGTAAAAATTAATAAATCCAATTCAATCGTTAATAAAAAAAATATCGATCCATTCTTCCGTAAACATGAACCAATTTCAACAGCAGGTTTTGCAGCCGGAAAATGCAAAAGATTACTTTCTGTGAAATTCTAGCTGAATCTTTACACAATACGCAGGCAAATTTAAAATCTTGACCTGGTTAAAAGCGTACTCGACCCGTAAAGGCGTAAAGTCGTAAAGGACACCGCCTCGCCATTGAGGTGTGAAGTTTTAACACGGAATCCAACGTGCGAGCCTAAAAGTGTTTACAATGCATCAGTTTTATGATCGGCAGTTGCATTACTCGGTCGCGGACCATTTCCCTTAATGAACGCCGGCAAGCTTTTATCATACACCATTTGTCAAATCACACTTTTGCCCGGAGCGCGGCGGCTTCGCCTCTCGGAAGCCGCCCACCCGGGCAATTTGTTTTCATTTCTGCTAACGATTCACCTGCCACCGTCCTCGTGGCCCACTTTCCATGCGGTCCGACCGTACGAATCCTTCGAAAAGAGTGCAATCCTTTCTAAACGATCGATCTTACCGGACGTTACTCCTTCCCGCGTAGCTCATTTAGTCCGGGGAGCGTTTCGCTCGGAATTTATGATACGCGTCGGTATAAATTTCGCTTAGTTCAGCATAGATGAAGATAGATAATACCGTCGGGCTGCGATATCGTCAATTATTGAAATAAACTGGGTGTATGGGTAGAATATGTACAGCGTAATCGACGTTTTCATCGGGCAAATAATAATTACCTGATATTACTTCTGTAGGGGAAGTATCGGTTCCTAATTATTCAAACGAATTGAGTCATTAAGGCAATCTTCTATAGATTAAAGGACTATTAGACCGGAACATCCGAGTGTGGTTATTATATCCATGAAGTAGCAGTCAATTACGTGGCCCGAGTAATAGTTGTATACAGCTTTATCGCGGATTTCACAATGCATTAACACCGTGTAATTAATGTCGTATTCAGTCTTGCGATCATTAAGGCTGATTGTGCCGTACTTAGGCTTAGGAACTATACCTATATACAGTTAATGGGTACGATAAACCCTTACCAAGCGCGTTACGAACTTGATAAACTCCGCTGATGTCTCTTAGTCTCACTTAACTAATATATAATTCCACTTTTAATTATAAAAAACGAATTTGACATTTTCTCAATGCCAGTGTTGTTAAAAAGAAGTATAGTATGTTTTATATTTAGTGAAAACGTACTGCGTCTTTCGGAGGAAATTTACAGAAGCTCGGATTTAAATACGGGGATTCAATTTTCAGAGTCCTGAAATTCCAGGTAGGAGGACTGGTTCAAACAGTTCCTCGTTGTAATGAGTGGCAGCAGTTTGGTGTTAGGCAGGGAACAGACGAGTGAGGACGTATAATATTATTGCTTTGCTGCGGAGCAAATCACAACGACACGGTAGGGAATGAAACGACGCGACGTATCGTTTATTTCAGCCAATGCGCGATGCATCTGACGCGGTGCAGCCGTATGTAAGTACATGCATCGATGTTGTGCATGCTCGTACTCGCGTGCCGCACATTGTTTCGAATTTTACTCATTCGCAATTTTTGGCTTCGGCTTGCCTTATCCAATCTCGTATACATTTATGACCTGCCGATTTTTCGGTAGTTTCGCCGCGATTTTCAATACTTTTTATGGTCGAAAGGTAATAGAAAAAATCACACAATCTGTTGTAAAACAAGTTCTTTGTTCTTCATTCAAAAAAAACGTGAATGTATCGAATTTTTATGTATTTCGATTTCTGCATTGTTTTATATGCTTCGTTAAAAAATATTTCATGTTTTTTTCCGGTTACTTGGATTTATGGAAAACTGTATAACTTTGATTGAATAGATCGTGTTGCAACGTGAAAAGTATGATTTGTAGCATACGACTGAAGCGCAGTGCGGCTCAATTTACATTCCAATAGTTAGTTAAATCGAAATCAATATTAATTACCGTTCAGCTCATCCTGCATTTAATTATTAGACATTGTTACCATGTCAGTTAATTTACCTCTATTTACAATCTATCATTACTAGTTATTTTGACGTCCAACTAACTCTGTTAATAAACGTCCGAACTTCCGAAATTGATCACGATCATTAAGTATGAATCCAAGCTTGTACACTGTCCAAGTTAAAACTATAAAATGGACATTGTTCGCGTAAAATCGGTAGGCGTTTAGCCTAATTGCGCGAAGCCCAATTCCGTCCCGGTGCTCGGTAATTTGCATCGCGTATAGCACATTACAGCATTGCTAAACTATCATTTGCAGTATTCCGCAAATCTCGCTCATTTTCGGCCGCGTAATCGTTCATCGAACGATCCTATGGACAGCTAAAACGGGCAGGGTTACGAGTTCCGTAATAGACCCGTAAGACGCAAACATACAGGGCGATGTTACATACCTATCCTGCGTCCCATGTTACATTCAATCTAGTACGTTCCGAATTGCTATTCGCAAACAACGCGCGGTTTCTGCATACATGCATCGAATGTGCGGTTAATTACGATCGCGTGGCCCCTGCGTGTGCGTGCGCGCCTGTACGTGTGTTCGGGCAAATGAAGTCGGGTCGAAGCTTCGCGCGCATCCCGTTATCGAGACGCTATTAATTGGATTCGACTAATTTGATCACATAAGAAAGACGCCTGAATACCCACAAATTCAACCTACGTAGCTTCTTTCCTCGTGCCAGCGTCGCAAGACAGAAGGGAAATAATAGAATCGATAATACGAAAATACTTATACCGATATTGTCATGTTCGGTGCAGTTCATTATTTAAAAAATGCACGTGACAATAGAAAAAATTTTGCAGTACTCACCCTTGGCGATTTGCGTTTCACAATTTCGACACAGGGAAAGCCACCGCACTGAAACAATAAAAACAGTATGCATATTAATTATATGAAGTATGCATTCTTAATGTAATTATACTACGAATGTAAGATGTATGCACATGTATGATAAGACGTATAATGTACATATCCATTTTTCGATACAATTTCCAGCCCCTATAAAATCATTTCGTTGGAACGTATAAGCGATAATTTTTCTCGTCGAGGGATTTCAATGTAGATACTTGAGTCCACTGAATTTTCGCGTCAATGCTGTGATCATATTTTGTAGCAGGCTATATGTAGTACCTGTTATACTCGCAACGATATACGGCCCCATGAAAAAAGATTATCCGACGATCTTTCACGCTTCGCATCTTGAGTCAGAAAGAGGGATACCCTCAAAGAGCTTACAATGCGATTTTCGGTGGAATCCTTTTCCACCCCGACCGTTCTCGTTCTCCCGTGTTATCGTCGTGTACGTGTCCGCCATGTCATATAGGTACGCCGGGGTTGTGCGCGATGATAAGTTGTATCATCCGAGATCGAGTAATCGTGTCATAAATGCGTTGCGGAAACACGAACCACGATTTTGCTAATCAAACATTGACGACTCCAATGCTAGAGGTAAAATTGATCTGATGAATTATTGCTTCGAGTGGTATTTGGTTTTCATAGTTCAAATTTTGAGATTAATGAACATCGTTAATATTAAAACGTTATTATCGTCGACGTTCTGCGCAATAATTTGATTCTTTTTACGGAGTAATAACGTCATCTCAGTTATTTCTAAATCGGTACTGAAAATTTTAGTACTTCTGTAATTAAATATATCTGTTTGAAACTTCCGAGTGTTTTGACGTATTTTACTTCGTTTAAATATTTGAATTGTTATGTGCAAAAAGTTTTTATGGACGCGTTATAGAGAACGAGAAGAATGTGTGCAGAACTGTTCTAAAAGAGATACATAAAAGTCTAAAAATGATTACTCAATTCGATAAAGCGTTGATACAATAACATTCCGTTTTACTAGTTCCTGGAAGTTTAATAATTCTAGTTCATACCTATCGCGTTATAAAAAGATACAACGTACGTTAACTCGAGCTATTAAATGCAGTATCGACATGTCCGAGGTTTATTATTCCATAAATTATTTCACTGCTGGTCACGAATGCATTGATATCTTCTACAGGACATCTATAAGTACATACAGAATATTTTATATCTTCTGCTTATAATTCGTTATAAAAGTATTTGCATTATTAATGTGCTCATGACACTGCAAGGCCAAACACAAGAGAATTGTGATATATTAAAATCAGGTTAGAAGTTTTATGCATAAGAACAATGACTATCATGCATGTTTAAGGATGTATTGGCTATACAGTCAATCCCAAAAGTTTATGCACTTTAGAAACGCATTTTTTAAAAAGAAATCAGACGTCGGAAGAACATTGCTAATAATAAACAACAAAAAAAAAATTTTTGATTTTTCCGAGATTTTTCCAAGGGGTACCCCTTCAATTTCTTCCAAATTTTCGTTTTTGGCCAATAACTCCCAAACTGTTGGACATACGGAAAAATTGCAT